AATTCTCTTCAATGAATGCCAGCATCCATCAGCAGTGAACAAAACGAGCAAGCTTCGGGCCAAGACCATTTAATGCCAGGCCACGGTTCAGTGGCGAGATGGCAGCTGTGCTTGTGAGGAATCATCCGATTGCCGCACCAAATGAATGTCGTTAGGTTGTGTAGAATTTGACGAAACGGGCGGCAGAAGCACGACCAGCACATGTTAGTGCGTTGCCATTGACAAGTTGTGGGTCTTGACCTGGTGACATGAAAGAAAACCGGGTGGAAGCAGCCCAAGAATACCATTCTTGCCAGGGCTGTGTGTAAAGCGACTGCAGGACGTGGAGCGCATGGCGAATGTTCTGGCGACCACCAAGCTGTCCCAACTCACGCTGCCAGGAAGCAAGGATGGCTTCAGCACCCAGGACCTGTGCGCACACCACGTCCGCACATTGGTTCTGGAAGGTTGCAGGAAGGGGCCGTTCATAGGTTTGCAACCAATCAGAAAAAGGTGGGTTGACAGAGGCGCTGTAGAGCTGCGAGGAAAGCTTTCCACAGCCAGCTGAAGAGCGGCAATGTCGGAATAAAGCGCAGAATGCTATCTGATGACTTCCAGGTGCAAAATCTTTTTGACGTACTTCCCATTCTGCAAAACCAGTTGCTGGCACTTCGCTTGCATGGTGGTGTGCGATGGTCCTTTCATGTGAAAAGAATCGTCGCACGCTCGGGACAGCGGCCGCACTTGGAGACGAGCTTCCTCGGATGGAAGTCTTTGTGAAGTTGCCACGGTAACTTGGTCCCGGAGGGGTTTCTGGTTCCGATGCCAGGCCCAAAGCTCACAAGAAGTTTCAAACAAACGGCTGTAGTTGGGTATCGCCTTGGCATGAACGATTGCTTGTAGCAGCCGCCTGCCGTGAGGTGCAAGTGTGGCTCTGTGTCTGGCACCCTTTGTCCGTCTTTGGTAGACGGGTTGGACGAAGCTCATCTTTTACCAGCAAACTCAAGATTGTGACACCCATGCCACGATCGAGCACTTTCATCTTGGTGTCCACTGCGAATGCTATGTCAGGGCCACAGTAGCGATTCAAGGTGTTGAGCATCCCTGGGCAAGCAAAGATAATGCAAACTTCAGAATCCGTGATCATGAAAGGCACTGTAGCGGAGAATGGAAGCATGACGGGGCAAAAGAGGAAACACGGATGATTGTTAGTCTGAACTGAACTGAACCCTGGGTTTCCCTCAAAAAGGACATTATATCTTGAGTCTATCCTATTACCAGTAAGCGGTTAGCCTACGGCCCCAGTCGTACCTGCTCTAAGGGTCATTAGAGGGTCATGTCACATGGTTCGAAGGGACTGCTCGGAGGGTCCAGGTACCGCTCGGAGTCCAATGACATTCACCTGCGCTTGAATGGTTTCAGTATGTGTTAAATTGGCTTTGCCAGGAACCTGGAAAGAGGCGCAACATAAGAGGATTTAACACCATAAAGAAGAAAGGCAGAAGAAAATATGGAAGAGAATTTAACCATAAAGAAGAAAGGATTTTACCATAGAGGATTTAACAATCACCTGATCCGATAGGTTTATCCTCTTCTTCCCTTGTTCCCTGTTTCCACCCAAGGGGTCCTATCCATGGAGGGTGCCGTCGGGGTGCCCAGAACGTCCAATTGCTTAGGGACTAAACAAACGATCTTTGACTAGTTGTGGTCTGTTGTGGTCTTCTTGTTACTAGTAGTAATGCCAGGAGCTATTAGTAGCTTCTTGTTACTAGTAGTAATGCCCTTGTTACTGGTTGTGGTCTTTTGTTCACGTTTTTTTTCAACCTCACTTCGTCCAGTGGCTTCATGATGCTGTCTCATTTCCAGGAAGCTTCAGGTCCTCCCTGGTCATCCCTCCATCGCTCTGAGCTGCCCTGACAGGAAGCTTCCGGCACCACGGTATTCGGGCCTCGGTGTCCGAAGGCAAGCACTGATCCAGTTCGGACCGGTTCTTCCATCCCCTGACCCCAACCCCCAGTTCCCTCCTGACAAAAGAAGTGGATGCAAGTTGGTCAACAACCGGTTTTCCTCCCGCTGTTGTAGGATGACAACCCCTATTTCTCGCTCCAGTTCAGTCTATGCAAACTATCATTCAGAGCCGAAAGCTTCAGCATTGAACAGCAATGGGTCCCTGAAATCATGCTGGCCCAAAGCAAAGGCAGACCATCTGGGCTTCTTCTTTTTACCTTGATGGGGAGAAAACGCACACACACTGCCCATCACTGCCCTAATTATAATTAAGAATCAAAGGACTCTTGTAAGTCGGTTGAAGGTTTGTTGCAGGTCCAACCCCCCTGCGATTTCAGAAGTGGTCGGGTCAAAACCCTTCAGAAGTGGTCGGGTCCGGTGGTCGGATGCTTTCAGATTCCAGACCCAGGATTTCCACCAGACCGAACGTACAGCATGGTGCAGCGTTGCGTCCACATCCACCGGGAAACGGTGGGGGTGTGGCTCAGCATCCAGGACATCGGTGCAGCGTTGAACTACCGCCTTTCTTTACGAAGGCTCTCTGCTTTTTGGTGCATCCAGACGGGTGATTCTGGGAACTGAAGGGGAGAAAGCACCTGTGCGTCACAGGATCAACCCGACAAAACACCTTGGACTTGCGTCAGGAGCCGGGGAAAAGGTCATATTCTGCCGAAGGCGATTCGCCCAGTTCGGGGAAAAACAAACAAAAACATGACGTTTGAAGCTAAGACAACCAACAACAAAACTGCAATTCGCGATTCTCCAATTACGGAGACATTTGGCCAGGCCCTGCACGCCCAGGCCCCCAATGAATTCCATTTGGCCCACCGAAAAAAATAAATAAATGGAGGGTTCAGAAGGAACGAAGCCCATGTTTGCTCAAGTTTACTCCAGTTTTCCCTGTGACCCCAACTTCATCAAACATCCCAGAAAGCCCATGCGAAGTGGTCCCCCCAAAATGCCGCCGCCATGGGGGCCATCTGTTTCTACGGTCTGCGGTCGATTAACATGGGCAACCTGAAGGAGTTCAGCACACACACACACACGCCCGGTTTGCTAGAGGAAAGCATCTCTGTCTTCCTTGCAAGCAGCAGGTCCATTCAGGTTCCGGTCTCCAAATCCAGGTGTACTACCAAGAGAGATAGCCAGTGACCGTAAATAGGACCTTAGTACCTAAAATGGGGATAGTCTAGTTCAGGTCTTTCAACCTCTGTTGGCACTTGACAGAACGAAAGGACTTGACAGATTCCGTCCCCTGGCCTTCGCTCGTTCCACTTCTTCGTTCTCACCGAGTCGCATGGGCGAAGGCGGATTTTCGCGGAGCCGCGGGGCGGCCCGCTGGGGCGGCACCAGAACGGTGTGTGGGGGCGATTGGGACGGTTTGAGTCTCCAAACGTTGGGTGAAGGAGACGAAGACAAGAGAGACCATGAAGGAAGGACATGGAGAAAAAGGCTGGTATTTGGTTTGCTTGATAGATCTGGACATTGAAAGACCATGAGGGGGACCCTGAAGGACACGCGCCTATACAGACGAATATCTCCGCCGGCGACATATCGCAGGCAGGGGGAGACCAAATTGCTTGGGTCTCGCGTCCTGTTTACGTGAGCGGATGGGTTTGGGACCACCGACGCTGGTGGTCACTTGTGAATGATGGTTGCCCTGACATAGCCTAACCTTGGTTACTTTTGGAGTCCTCACTTGAAAAGCAAGAAGACATCCACTTTTGGCTGGTGTATGCAAAAGCCCACAATGTATATCCTTGGATTCATGATTCTTCATAGCCTTACCAACTGATGCCTTGCGAAAGCATGCTCTTCGAACCTGCTGAGCCAAAGCAGCTCCTTCGCCAAGCAGGAAAGCAGCAAAACCATGTCTGGAGGGTTGTCCTTCTCTGGCTTGGAGCAAATGGCTGTAGGTTGACATCACATGACATCACCATGAATTGGTGAAGCACCATTCATTTGCCAATTGGTTTTGCTCATAGCACCATGGCACCTCCTTCACCAATTCGTGGTAGCTTGACCATGTCTGGCCCGCGCCCGCGCCCGCTCCCGGAGGCGTCGTGGTAGGGGAGGTCTGGCCCTACCCTGGTTTGTTTTAAGGGGCCTGGTTTGGAACCCACAGCCGAATAAGAAAAACACCTCAAAAACATCTTAGATCGAAATGGACTTCACCCACTTCGGGAGAGACCGAGACCGCGCAACCGGATGGAGCAGAAGTCGACCGCCGTGGACCGACCGTGGACCGACGATGGCCGACGCGCTTCCACGCCCTCGCGCGTGACCGCTGTTCAAAGGATTTGAACTGAGTGACCGAACTTCAAGACAACCTGATTCTGGGATCTCAAATTCGGTCACTGGGAAGGTCTTGGTGTGTAGGTGGGTACCTCACGAACGCGATAAACCTCACCTTGAAGATGCAGTGAAAATCAAGTATACTATTGGTGACCAAATCTCTTTGGTTCGGACTATGCAGGCTACGCTCCACTCAGCTCACTCAGCTCCACTCATCGGTGACGTCCTTTGCTTCATGTCGAGGGATGTTCCAATCTGTTCCGATGGCCCAAAAGACGTATAATGCAGTAGGAATTTGGTAAGTGGCCCTCTTGTACAACATAATATAGTATAATATACTATAGTACGTGTTATTAATATGGCCCTGACTGGACTACCCCACACTCTCCAGTCCAGGTAATACAGTATACACACCCTGAGATAACCATGGTTACGTGGATGGCATGGTCCCGAGTTCGGATCAAACATTCGCTTCTGCACCTCAGTCACCCCCGAGCATTTTGAGGTACCCCTGGCCACCTGGCCAAAACCGCACCCTTATCAGGACTTGAAGAAGACAAGAAACGCCCACCCCATCCTTCAGCTCACGTTCCAACTTCATCCTTCCAAAAAAAACACAGACGAAACAAACAGACCCACTCCAACCTTGCAGGACCTGCTCTCCCCCGCTGTGGTGCTCCCCGTGGAAGCTTCCACACTTCGTCCGCCGATCTCCGCGCCTTCTCGCCACCGATCTCGGGGCCGAACCACCAGCCCATCTGCTCGGTGCCTGGATCGAGTCGAAGCAGCTCAGCACCCGTGCCAGCTCATCTGGATTCGACGGTCGCTGTGTTCAAGAGCCTGATTTGGGCAGAAAAAACAACAACGTGACGGCAAACATGTTTTCTTTTTCCACGTCCCTGGACTTCCCAGTCTCTTCTCCTTTTTGTCGACCGCTCGGGGGGCCGCACCGTGGCGAGCATCCCAGAAGTAGAGTAGCACCTGGCCAAGTCAAGGGAGGTGGATGTGAACTTATACACCCGGTCAACCGCGGGGCACCTATGGGATAGTCTATAGAATTCTGAAAAAAAAGAACCTTTGTTAGAGGGTCATGGCCTAGAACAGAAGGGATATGCTGGGCATGCTCATCTGAACCTTGGTCTTTGAAACCAAAGGAGGTCTTCACCCTATACAGGGCACATGTTGAAGCCATCACGAAAACAAACGATCGGGCCGCGCCTGCTTTCCATCCACTTTCCTTGCCGCAAAGGGTGCGGAGAAAGAATGAATGACTTGAAGATCTATATTATGCGAAACCTAGCAAAGTAGACTCCTTGGAAGACTATTGCCCTAAATGTCCTCCATGATCGAGTTTGCTTTTGTATCCATTATTGATTGGTGTAACTTCTTCTCAAAGGGTCCCAAATGAACTGGTGGAGCAGCACCCTTCGAACTCGCCCAGTGTGCCTGCTTGCGCCGGAGAAAAACAAGAAAAACAGGGTCCCCCCTCAGCTGGATGACTCTTCGGCCCTTCCCATCATGTGCCATGACCGGCATGGCATGGCACGCAGAACCCGAACGTTCGACTATCCCAGTTTACCCCAGGTTTTCCGGGCCTGACTCCTTCAGGCCTCTCTTGGGAGGCCGTTCAACGTTCTTTACCCTCCATGTGTGTTGCAGGGAGGGAGACGACTCTGACGCTTTCAGGGTCGGACCGTCGCACGTCCCGGTCAGTCGCACTGTCGGACAGCGAAGGTCCGTGGAGGAGCTCCTTGTCATCTGAATAATGGACTCTGAGGAATCTGAGGAAGACGTTACTCAGACCACCACCACCAGCACGACCAGCACCAGCACCAGCACCTGCACCTGCTGCACCTGTTTGGTCTTGGTCACAATTCATGGTCATCCTGTTGAGGGGCCATGTTCCCATCCACGTAACCATGGATCTATTTCAGGGAGTGTCCCCCATCCACGTCTGCAGCTACAGTACCATCCGCTCAATGTAGACTCCTTTTTCATAAATGAACACCCCCAAGAGTCCAAGAGGTTGTTGAAATCCAATTGAGCTGGGTCTTCATTAGTCTATCATGATAATATGGCAGTAGGTCACGGCACTGCCAAACCCCGGCTTGACCACCATGTCATGGCGAAGCTGCCAGGCCTTCGTTCGGAGCCATGACTCCACATGTGACCGTGTGAGTCATGGCACCCGGATTTTAATTCGGAACGAAGTGGGTTGACCATCTCTGATAACGGTCCATTCGGTTCATCTTCGGTTCATCATCGGGTCTACCGGATGCTCCAAAGACAGAACCTCAGCTGACCCATCTTCGGGTTCTGCTTCGGTCCACATCTTCGGTGCGAGAACTGTTCCGAGAACTGCAACTGGTCCGGTCTGGGCGGGACCGCGGCTTCGCGCCTGTAGACTGGCTTCTCGTGGTTGGACTTTGCTTCAGGCAAGTAATCACCACAAATGATGGCTCTCACCTGAAAGAAGAGGCGAGGAGGCGAGAAGCAACCGTCCAAGATGATGGTTTGAGTGGCAATCTCTTGGAGGGAAGCCCGGACAGCACTGAGATTCGCTGCGCGGATTGCGAGTTGGAGGCGTTGGGAGAAGTATACGGTTAATTGCTGTACTGTAAGTTTGAGCGAGCATCTGGTGGAAGATGTTTGCAAGCATCTTGATCCGGTAGTGCAGGCAGTTAACACTCTTGCTGCATGCATGTGTGCTTCAAAACAGGGACGCATCCCCCTAAAAAAGAAGACTAAGAGTGTTGCCATGGGGAAAACGACTGAACCTGCAAGAAAGATCGATATCTCTTGGACACCCCTCTTGATGCGCATCATACTTCATCTATCCCTAGGGATCCAAGTACCTTCTCAGAAGGCACTTGGACCCTCCAAACCCACCCCAGTCCCACCTTCTGAGAAGGTACTTGGATCCCTAGGGTATCTTCATCTAAATACACGCGAACAATCCCCAACCTGGACCACCCTGTCGATCGGTCTCTGGAGATCGGTGGATCGGTGGGGGTGGAAGCGGACACCCTGTCTGACCCAGGAGACCAGGATGGTCCTGGGTAAGTGCATGCCAGTCCAGTCCGAGGTTTGCTTGCGCTTTTAAGTTCATCCGTTCCAGCTCAGAGACATCCGTTTGGCTTTCACAAGGGCAACAAAAATCTATTGCGGCTCCGAGGAAGCCTGGGTCAAAAGATCTTCCGGCAGGTACTGACTGAGCCAGTTCGGACCAAAAAGAAGCCTCCTTTATCCCGTGGAACACTAACAATGGACCCTGAAAACCATCGGTTGGTAGAGGATTTTGGGAGTGTAAACAACCCAACGAAAGCCAAGGATTGATCGATCACCACACGATTATTCGATCGCAACTAGACGAGGATGTTTTGGGTGACAAAAAAGAAACACGAAACAATGACAATCGGGTTGTGACATGTTTATGATCGTTCCTGTTCGTAGACATTTACTTGGCAAAACCAATGGTAAAGCTTTAAAGCCATGCGGTAAAGACCTGTAGCAGCTCTGTAGCCACTGTACGATGCATCAGCTCACTGTCCCGCTCCACGCCAGTCCGCGCCGCCCAAACGTCGTCACCGTGCGTCGCCGGCGTTGGGAGCTCCGGGCCGCGCTGTGGGTACAGCCGGAGACCTTCAGCCGTGGAGGTGGCCTGGCGACCGAGACGTTTTCCGTTCCGCTCGGAAGAAGTGTGGACGCTTTTTGGGATTGCCCGGGGGGCGTGGTACGTAGCGTACCGTTCACGATGTTTCGCCCCCAGACACCGTGTGGGCGGTAGGAAAGGAAACACAAGGTCTTCGATCATCCTTACCTAGTCAGATCAGCAAAGGCAACACTTTTTTGGTGGTGAAAATCCTGGTAGGTGGACCGTCCTGTAAGACTCGTCTATTCTGTTCCGTGTCCTCAGGGTTTGACCCACAGCCAGTTTCGGTTTCAGGATGCTTCATGAGATTCTCTATATAGGTTGCTAGTCAGCCAGTTCCTGCATACGCATACGCTCAAGGTGGGACGAGCCCAGTTGGAACACCGACCGGTTGGGGTCGGTCAATGGCTGATCCAGAGGTCGGAGTCCCAAGCCCATGCAAGCCCTATGGAGTGCCCGAGCCTGGGACGTCTTGGATTCGTGTGATTTTAGACGCCCAGAGGCGACCCGAACGAGCTCAGCCCCGGGAACCCCGGTTCCTGCTACATATGGGTGTTCAGGCGCCAATACCACCCGATCGTGGGGGCTTTCGGGTCATATCACCCGGTCCCACTGAGCCTTCCACGTCGACCCAGGTCCCAAGACCGATCTCCAAAGGCTTGGCCCCCGAAGACTCGGGGGACCGTGATTTTCACATGCCCTAGGGCTCCAGTCGTACCTTCGTTGAAGAAGGTGGGACTGGGGTGGGTTTAAAGGATCCAAATACCTTCTGAGGAGGTACTTGGAGCCCTAGGGATGCGAAAGTTCATCCCCCATCATCCCCCCAAAGCCGGTGCCCTACAGATCCAGTGGTACCGAACCTCAGGCACGGTGATTGGAGACACTCTGAGGGTCCAGTCGTACCGAACCTGAGAAGGTACTTGGATCCCTAGGGGCGGTTTTTTTCCCAGAACCTCTGCAACCTACCACCCCAGCGACTCCGGCACGGGCCATCGCTGCCCCTCCCACACCAAAC